TAGAAATTTGTTTTGCTCTGTGGTAAAAACACATTCCAAAAGGCAGAACAAACACAAACAAAGAAACAAAGTGCAAAAGTATGGAACATTTACCTACAATTTAGAGCCCTAATTGCTCTAGGAAAGAAACTATTCCTGAATCTAGCCTTATTGGCTTTCAATGAACGAAAACGTCGACCACTTCGCATCAATTGGAATAGGTTTGAGGCAGGATGAGTTTGGTCGCCCATAATAGCCTCTGCCTTTTTAAGAAGCCGATCATGGAAAATGGTTTCCAGAGGCATTTGTTCCAAACCAATGATATGCGTTTCAGTCCTGACGATTCTGTTAAGGGCATATAAAGTCGTTTTCGGTAGCGCCCCCGAACCAGACGGTTATAGATAATGTTAAAATGCTTTCAATTACTGCTCTATAAAAAGACATCAAAATAATCGGATGCATTCCAAAAGATTTAAGCCTACGCAAAAAATGAATTCTTTTCTGTGCCCTTTTCACAATTGTTTGCATGTTACGTTGCCACTTCATATGCCCTTCCCCTGTTATTTCAAAGATTTAAGGATCAGTCCAGTTGCCACCCATCCCTCCCTTGAATCCACCCCTGCATATATACAAATGAGGTATAGGTAAGCCATATTAATAGTCAACTTACAGCATCCAATTCCTCTTCTTCTTTCTGTGTAAGTAAAAAAAAAAAATAAATAAATTTATCCATCATCTTGTATGGTAATTACATCTACTAATGAATTTAACCTTCATTGTAAAAATTACACAAATCAATCGTGATGTTGGTAGTCTATGAGTGAGATACTTACCTGGATAACCGACTAATTCCCTAAACCGAGTGTTAAGCTCGACCGGCACTCGGAGTGCCCGTTGTGTCGCTCGTGTAGCAAGGCTGAGCCTTAACACTCGGTTTAGGGAATTAGTCGGTTATCCAGGTAAGTATTCACGAAATAGACTGCACTATTATTAAAATAAAGAAATAATATTTTAATATTTTATTTAAATATGCTTGTATTACCACAATGGATACATAACAACTCTCTTTACTCAACTTTAGGAGAGAGCAAAGGATTTGCCAAAAAGTGACACAAAGATGCTTATATTTAATAGGATGTCTCATTATGAGGTTTAAAGAGTGAAGCTGTTTTTGGTTTTAATTGAATCTGGGATTGGAAGGCAAATATATTACCCAGCAACCTTTTCAACTCCACTCTCTAGTTAATACCTACAGTACTCACAATATATACAGCCCCCCCACCCCAAACACCCTGCAAGCAAATGCATTAGATTCCATCTTTGGAAGGAATCAACAATACCCTCATTCATTCCATCTTGTCAGCATTGCTAAAATCATGATCACAAGAAACCACTTTCTGTGTGTTAGAATCATAGCCTTAAGGTAGGTATATCATTTATTTATGCAATAATCTGCAGTGCTTTAAATGCATCTAAAAAAAAAAACACCATGAGCCATGTTGCAAATTGACATTAAACAGCAAAACAATACTACTACTAGTACTAGTGAGCTGTGCAGACTCCTCAGTAAATAATGTTCAAATAAATAATTAATAATAATGTTACATATGGTATGTCAACTCAATAAAAAATATACATAAATAATAACTGAAAATGCTCAATAAGACTACAAGTACAGCATAAAAAAAATAACAGCACAGAAGTAATGTAAACTGAATTGCTTAGTACCACAGTAAAAGCCTAGTCCCACCTAATTTAACTTTAATCATATTAGATGTGTAAATTTTAATATAAATTTAATTTATTTTTGATTAGATTTATCTCTAATGATAAAATGGCTTTGCATGTCCAAATAATGTGATTTTTTAACCACATGAGCGTAATATATTTTGGATTTAAAAACTTCCAGTGGGGGAGGGCGGCGAGAGATTGTTTGATTACCAACCCCGTGCATACTCCACCGCACATGGCACGGTCATTGCACACCAACTAACAATAAGCAGGTAGTTTCTACAACTTATAACAAAAACAAAATATCAACGATTGCTAAAACAGCAGAAAAATATTGAAAACAAAAAAACTTCATGTAACAATCCAAAATAATTCACAACAGCTAAATATAAATGAATAACCAACAATAACTAAATGAAGCTTGCCATCCAATAACCAGCATTAGTGACCAAAAGAAAAAAAAACAAAAAATTGAAAATTAACTTTTAAATATTCTTATTCTGCACATTGTAATCTTTAAATAATAATAATAATAGTGTAGTTTTATATAGCGCACATATCCATCTAATGTAAGATGCTCAGGGCGCTTGAATGTGGACTAGGAACTCGACCAATGACTTTGATGGGTCATTTGGAATGATGGGTCATTTGGAATGATGGGTCATTTGGAATGATGGGTCATTTGGAATGATGGGTCATTTGGAATCGATACTTTTGCTAAAGTTATGAGTAAAAGTATTATGCCTTCTTTGTATTAAAGTATACAATACTGGCACATTCTAATAAATTTAGTTTAAATAACATATAGTGACAGTACGCTGGTTTTGGGATGGCATGCTTCAATTAGGTACAACATCAATGAAAGTATAACTATACCTCATCTTCATCATCATCACTCTATGATATGCCAAAAACAAGCATAAATTTACAGTCACAAACCAATCTTACATACATTTAAATTTCTTTAGTTAAACAACAGTAGAAAATAGAGTAATATGTATATTTTCAATTAACAGAAATTTTAAAGTGGAAGCAGATATTCATTCTCAAATGCATAATGATAATATACTGTAAACATGATGTCTTCCAACCATGCAATTGACTGCTTTAAAATTAATTAACTATTGATTTCATTTCATTTGTTGACTGTCAATTTACAGAGAGAAAAAATAATTTATTTTCCTTATTAAGTGGCAAAAAAAATTAATATATTGTCTGTGTCGGTGATAAAACCATTAAAAAAAAAACATTACTGTCACATCATTATCATTAAGATTAATACTAATGTATTGCAATTATTATTGGATATATATTACTGCTATAGTAGAACACCTCATTTGGGATATCCCCATTAAGAGACATATTAAGGGGTCACACCTATGGGACACCGTTTCGGCCATGAAATAAAGAAAAGTATATCTTTTAACAGCCAACCCTACTAAAGGGAACACCCCTATTAAGGTCCTGAAGGTGTCCCCTCAATAGGGTCCACTGACTGTATTTTTATTCGGCCAAAAAAATTGTTTGTTTGCCCTCCTTCACCTGCCCCTAACTCACTGAAAAAATAAGGGTGGAAAAACAAAAAAGTTTTTTTTTTAGCTTTTTTCTTTAGAAATTAAAAAAAAAATGTGAGTGAATTTATCTTTATTCTTTGCCAGATGCCCTACAAATTAGTCTAAAATTGTTGTCTGATGTAACATATTGCCATTCTAGGCCTCTGTGGGTTATTTTTATTCCATCTGATGAGTATTTAAAAAAATAAATATATTTAAAAAAAAACTTTTTCCACCCGCCCCTATTTATTATTTTAAAAAATACAAAGGGCAAAACAAACAATTTATTTTATTTGGCCTTATTAGTGCTAGTGCTACTGCTAGTGTATTAAAGAATACTCACAAGTTTCTTATGAGCCCGCCAGTTCCTCTGTATACTCTTGGCGCTGTTTACTTTTCTTAGTTCTTCAGCTTTCTGTTTCTGTTCTTCATGTCTTCTGTCTTCGTCTTTCTTTTTTCTTTTCAATGAGGCTGAGCTCCCACTTCTGCTTCGTGGCGTGTTGTGGTGCAGCGACTCCGTACTGGATTGCCGTGCCAACTTTTTCTTCGACGCCTCTTCTGCTTCTCTTAATATTTGTTCAGTTATTTTTTTTAATTTTCCATTCAATTCTTTTATTTCCTGTCTGAAAATTAACATTTAGAACAACTTGTGTAAGCACAACTCCAATATAAAATACAAATTTTATGAATACAAGAATACTTCATTTTGAGATAACTTGTGTAATAAGAAATACAGTCAAACAACTAAAAACAAAAAATAGGCTCCCAGCATGGCGTGACTGCTAGAATCTTACGAGTAGAACACAGGAATGTATAGTTAAATCACTGTACATCCATGCTTCCCCTAGAGCCCTGTGACCGCTACGTATATCCCTGAATAACCCACAAGTCAGTGGCGGTCGGCCTATTTACACATTATTTTGGTTATTTCTAGGACAGTCGTAGGTATTGCATCATAATTCATTACTAAATAGAGCCAGCTGCATGACTCTTTTTTTTGCTTGTATACATATCAAATTTTCATACAAAAAATAAGTCTTACTCTTGTTCGTCAATTGTTTTCTTCAGTTTTGATTTATCTTCTTTCAACCGTTTAATTTCCTTTTCCTGTCGGTCAATAGAATCTTGTAACTGTTTCTTGTTTGCTTCAGAAACAGAATTCTTCATTTCTTTTGCTCTAACTTCCTCCAGTTCCTATATAAGACAAGAATAATAAAAAATGTATAAACAGTGTACTTTTCTAATTATATTTTTATGAATCAATTTTACAAAAATGTTATTATTGAAGGGTGTTCATACATCCTCAAAAAGTGGTGACTCGGGGCATTAGAGTAGATGTGAACTTTGCCACAATTATTCGCTTTTTCCACTACAGCAGAAAAAAGCTATTGCTTCTGTTCTGAGCACATGTGGAGAATGTGTCACGTATGTGAGATGCAAATGGTATGTGTGATAATTCTAGATGTGATCATTTGGATCATCAATCATCCCATGTTTATTTATTCAATTTATAAACAATGTTATGATCATAATGGTACAAACTTACTGATTCAAGCTTAGATAAGGTATCTAGTAAATTCTGTCTGTCCATGTCCTTGTAATCTGTCAAGAGAATGTGTGGTACTTCTTTCTTAATTGTTGGATTTCTCTGCACAATACAGAGATACATCAATATTTTAAAATTATCAAAACAATTTTCTAAAAAAAAAAAATCAATTACATTTTTCATCAGTCCAATCATGTGATCTCTATCATACCAAATCAAAACAGTTTGATATATTTTAGACGTGGGAATATCTAATGTTGAGATAAAGGGTAAAGGTTAGAGTTAAGTCGAGTGGCCGCGCGGTAAGACAGGGGCGCCACTAGCTAAAGCCTGAATTGTGTATGGCTGTGGTCCGTGACTTCCTAGCGGCCGTAAAGAGGCGCTTATTATAGTAGCTACACGTTCACATCAATCTAGTATAGTAGGTACATTGTTTTTAAACCACACTGACACTCACCTCCCAATTTTATTTTTTTTAAAATTTAGTTTATTTTAATTTACTTCCAAAATCTGGGAGCCTGCCACTTACAGAAAGGAAAACATGAAAAACAGCAAACAGTACTCAAAATATTTCTTAATTTTATACTTAAATATGAAAGGCAATAAAAAAGGACACTGACCTCTGCTACCCTTTCCCCCTGTTCTTGGAGTCTTTTCCATCGCACGTTGCAGATCCAATTTCAGTAGTTTATTTTCGCTTTGCAACCGCTGATTAGCCTCCGTCAAACGCAAGACCGTGCCGTTCAACGCTTTCACTTTAGAATTACTGTTACTGCTTTGTTTCATTGATCTGTGTTTAGAAGCAAAATTCAGACAAAAATAATAAAACATATTTTTTAAAAATATTAAAATTAATACATCAATTAATATACACTGAATTATCAACACAATTCTTCTATGGAAAACACAGCACCATGATGCGCACAACGGATCAGTTTTCAATGTCAATGCATTTAGACTGCTACCGACAATCGGTGTCATATAATGCTCACAGGGTGTGGTGTTAGATATATCGGCCCACGTCCACACTGAGTGCCCAGGCTGAGATCTACCAAAGAACAAATAACACTAACACTAAGTTTAAACAATAGAACACTAAGTTTAAACAATGTACATCCCCTTATAAAGAAATTACATGTGGTGTCCCACAGGGTACTAAACTTGGTCCCATATTATTCCTCATTCTTGTCAATGATATATCTATAGGAAGCTGCAGGGGATGGAAATATGTAGAGGACCTCACAATTGGTGAGATCGTTAAATATGGAGGTCCTGAATTTCTACAAACCAGTCTCGATAATATAACGGACTGGTGTCATTTGAATAATATGATTCCGAATCCAACTAAGTGTAATATAATGAGAATTAATTTCCTGCTAAGAGAAATTCCTCCCCCTATATTTTCCCTTAATGGTACCGTACTCAAAGTTGTGTCTCATATAAGATTATTAGGTGTTACAATCCAAGACAACTTAAAATGGGATATGCATGTCGGCGACATTATTAGCAAGGCATCTCGACGACTATATACGCTATGTATATTGCGCAGAGCCAAAGCCCCCGTAAATGATATAACATGTGTTTACCTAAGCTATATACACCCCTTACTAGAGTATGCATGCCCGGTTTGGCATGGAGCCATCACTCAACGTCTTAGTCATCAAATTGAACGAGTACAAAAGAGGGCCTTTAGAATAATCCTGGGTCCAAATTACATCACTTATGATCTTGCTCTATGCTACCTTAATCTCCAGTCCCTTAAGGCTAGACGTGATAGTATTCTACTTACTTTCGGTAAAAAGTTATTAACATCAGTCAAATATCGACCTCTACCTCTACATCTAGAGTTCTCAGAAACAGTTCCACAAATAAACTTGAATTTAGTAGACCTTTGCCCAAAACAGAACGTTTCCGAAAATCACCCATCCCTACATTAGTGCAATTAATTAACAATGAATTAGATGCGTAGGCTGGAAATAATCCTTCGACTGTTGAATTGTGATTTCCTTTTCTTTTATCTGTTGAGATACTTTATTCCTTTATTTCTATAATAATGATGGTAATATTGTAGTAGTAATGGTGGTATGATGGTAAGAGTGATAATTATGGTGATTATTGTTGTTATTATTATTGTTGTTATTATTATCGTTGTTATTATTATTATCATTGTTATTATTATTATTATTATTATATATACATTTATATAATTTTGCTGATGATATTTTTAATCTCTTGCTTATCTTGTTTGTTTCATCTTTTTGATGTTTGTAAGCTCAACGTTTTCAGCTGCCTGGCTGCTTGTTGTGCAATTTTATACCATAATAAATAAATAAATAAATAAATAAATTCACTAGAAAATCTAGAAATATTATGTTAAATTGTTTTGGGTACCTACCTCGATAGTTTATCATTTTCAGTTTGCTCAACTCTCAACCGTTGAACCTAAAAAATAAATAACATGACAACTTAAATAAAACAATGTTTTAAATTGTGATTTTTAAATAGAAAACAATAAAGGAAAAAAAATGTTCAAATATACCTCTTGATAGAATGTTTCCATGGCAATTTTCATTTCTTCTATATTTGTACATTTAATATCTTCACTCAACTTCCTACATTTAGAAAAGGAGATACAATTACTCTATTTGTTTATTGTATATTTGTTTATTATTATGGGTACAACCCCAAGCCCGAACACATGGGTACTTAACACCAAGCCACAGCCACACCACACGGGTACACAACCAAGACTCAACATTACCACATGAGTACAACACCAAGCACAAGCTAGTAACACCAAATGGGTACACAACCAAGACTCAACTACACCGTATGAGTACAACACCAAGCAAAAATCCCTAGAGCTACACCACATGGGTACACAATCAAGACTCAACTACACCATATGAGTACAACACCAAGCAAAAATCCCTAGAGCTACACCACATGGGTACACAACCAAGACTCAACTACACCGTATGAGTACAACACCAAGCAACAATCACTAGAGCTACACCACATGGGTACACAACCATTACTCAACTACACCATATGAGTACAACACCAAGCAAAAATCCCTAGAGCTACACCACATGGGTACACAACCAATAGTCAACTACACCATATGAGTACAACACCAAGCAACAATCACTAGAGCTACACCACATGGGTACACAACCAATAGTCAACTACACCATATGAGTACAACACCAAGCAACAATCACTAGAGCTACACCACATGGGTACAACACAAAGACTCGGCTAAACCAAGATCAAGTCAACATCTACTAGTATCATTATTTGTATCATGCCATCCAATGGATCTGGCAGAGTACAATTATTGTGCTAGAAACTGTGTCCAGCTCTGGCTGAAACAATGTACCTAGCAAGTGTGTGGACACGATAAGAAGCAGCAGCTAAACCACATGAGCAACACAAAGCCACGCTACACCACATACAGTAGGCAACACAAAGCCACAGCATTAGCACATGGATACAACACCAAGCAACAGCTACACTACATGGGCAACACAAAGCCACAGCTACACCACAAGGGCAACACGAAGCAACAGCTACACCACATGGGCAACACAAAGCCACAGCTACACCACAAGCACAACACAAAGCCACACTACACCATATGGGCAACAAAAAGCCACAGCTACACCACAAGGACAACACAAAGCCACACTACACCATATGGGCAACAAAAAGCCACAGCTACACCACAAGGGCAAAACAAAGCCACAGCTACACACATGGGCAACACAAAGCCACAGCACATGGATACAACACCAATTCACAGTTAGCACATGGTTACAACACCAAGCCACAACAGAGGTACATCTTTGCTGTATGCTGCGACGCCCCTGCCTTAACCGCTCAGCCATCCAACTCGCCATATATTTACTAATAGAATACTTTTACTTAGAAATGAAAAAAAATTAGAATTAATCAACAAATGGGCTCATCGCATTTAGACATAACCAAAAACGCAAGCAGTTTAACACAGTGGGAATGGTTTGGTTTGCCAAACTTGAGGTCTTGGTCTCAGTCCCTCGCTGTGCATTTTGCATGTGTCATTGAGCAAGGCACTTTATCTGCATTGCTTCTCTTCACCCAGCCTTAGGGATTCCTGCTCCTGTGCCAATATGGCAGCAACACTTAGGCATGTGACTAGGGAAAAACCTAAAATTTGGTAACCTAAAGAAAATGTGCTGTATATATACACCAAGTAAGAAATTACAAATAACGAAATAAACAGCAGATCTTTTCAGAACTATCTACCTTGTGTGCCGCAGGCATTAATATATAATAACCAAATTATATATATAAAAAAGACAGAAAAGCCATTAGCACTAATTTAAATTTTTTTTTTATTATTTATTTTATTTATATTATATTTTTTTATATTTGATTTTAAAATAAATTTCTTTTTAAGATATGTGTGTGTGTTAAGATGCTCACTTTCATGGTTGTTGTGCCACTTCTGTTTTGATTATTGATATCCATGTTTAGAGTTAGGGTTTCCTGTTTAGCATAGTTTACTTTTTGTTTAGCCTCAAACTTACCATCAGTTTTCCTTAAAATCAGCACCTGAATTACTGCCAGGGATGGCACCGGATTTTCCAAAACAGGTAGTCCATCGTTCCCTGACAGATGGGCCAGAGTCCACACCCACCTTAGCCCCAACATGTTTCAATTTACCTTGACAAATTTTACCTTGGCTGTCCAACAGCTGTGCCAGGCATTCCACCTGCTGGCATCATCTCTTATTATTGCTACATCGCCACCCTCTTCCCCAAAGCAGAACTTGCTTACTTCAAACACTGAAGATGATTTTATATTAAACTTTTACATTTCACTCAACAGGTAATAGAATTTGCTATGGTTCTCACATTACTCTCTTTGAAATCAGATAACAGTTTATCTTTTAAAATTGTCCAAGCTCTTGATTACTCTACCTTTAATTAATCAGTTGAGTGCAAGCTAGCTCAGTCGGCTAATCTGGTGGTAGCCGCTGTGTGTGCGCTGAACCGTGGAGATCTCTAGGTCCCCGGTTCAATTCCCATCGCTGCCTCTCCTTGTGTTTCAGCTAGAGGGCTGAAATACAAGATACAATAGCGCACCGTCTTTCGGATGAGACGTTTAAGCCGTTGGTTCCGTGTACATTATGGTTCATGTGCACGTTAAAGAACGCAGTACACTTTTCGGAAAAGAGTAGGGGATTGTCTCCCGGTGTACTGCCCAATCACCACCAGAAGGACCTCACTTCAAATAAGTCTTCTTCTAGATTTTCGTGGGCTATCCTTGGTGCTTACACCGAATAAATCCAATCCAATACAAAAATTGAAATTGATTTATTTGATCACTGTCACTAGGATAATAACAGAAAACACTTACTCTACTACCCATCATGAGTTCATCTATGTGTTTCTCCTTTTTGGCATTGTCATCTTCTAGTCTACGATTCCTTGCCTTTATCAGCTCATTCTCCTGCCTCAGACCAGTAACAGACTTCCTTAACTCCAATATGTCATCATACATGTCCTCCGGTGGCTTGTACACTGGGACTCCTTTTGTACTTCTTGTAAATGTATCTGTCATGAAATCACAATTACTTCAATTTCTATTTGGTGGGAGAGGGAAGGGGAGGAGGGGGAGGGGAGGGAAGGGGGTTGTGGTGGGAAATATTTCCCTATTAATTTATTTCTTCAGGTTCATTTAACTTTTCTGTTTTCTTCTGCTGTTAAGCTGGGCACTCACTACGCATGACGTTCATCGGCCGACGAAATTCTACAAAAAACGCAGCACGGAAAAGCGCGCACAACGGATCTTTCTTAATGACGATCCGTTCAGACAGCCACTGACAATCAGCATACGTGGTCACATGTTCTAGCGCTCGCAGGTTGCGGAGTTAGATCCGTTGTTCGACGGTCGTACAACGCAGCGAGTCCCCGGCTTTAGTAATCGAGTGGTGTAACAGTTATAAGGTCTCATGTGCTTTATGCTAGGGACACAGGTCTTATAAGGCCGCAGGATGATTATCAGCATTACGCCCCATACATGGGTCAAGTGGGGCCAATCTATGGAACACTAATATGTGTAAAAACCCATCAAAATTCTTCTTTAAAATGTCATATACACCAAAGCGTAAATACCTTCTTACCTCACCCCCAACCATGGTGGGGCAGAGGTGGTATAGACCCTCCATCTGTAAAAGTTCCTCCCTGGGCCCCTCTATTTCAAATTCCTAGATCCACCACTGATACCACTGTCACTAACTTGCTTTCAGTACTTTTATTGGAGATTCAAGGCAGTGTGACTAGATCACTGTCACTCACCATCCATAGCTGATTGCGACCTGCGTGATTTTGGCGGCATGCCAAGTACATTCTCTCGTAAGTAATCGCTGCAGTTGCTACCTTGAGGCACTTGTTTACCAGTAAGGCCAAGATAATTGCTGCTCTTTACACTCGCTGTCAGCCCTAGATAAAAAGTATATTTTATTAATAGAATAATACAGTAATTCAACTATTTTAGTGTTAATACTCAGATAACATTGCATGATGTGGCCGACACGACTTTGGATCCTTGAGTTAAACCCAGATGCAATAGGCTGTCTTAAGTCTGCCTAAGAGACAGTTTAGTCGTAGAATATTAATTAAACATGTTTAACATTCTTATGATGAACTAAAAACTGTCTCAGATTATAAATTGCAGCATACTGTGTTGTAAAACATGGACTGAGTAGGCAAGCATCTTAACCACAAAGCTTTTCAACTCTACTCAAGTTATGCATCATTACTTCATTTATCCCTGAATATCTGCTGACCAGTATAATCTGAAAAGGTTGCCTTGTATTATAAAGTCAACCTGTATAGAGCTCACCCTGTAAAAAAAGTCATCCTATGCAAAGGTCACCCTGCCTAAAGGTCACTGCACAAAGGTCACTTTGTACAAAGGTCACCTGTATAAATATGTCACACTTTATAAATATGTTATTTTAAAAAATAGTAAAATTCTGTACCTGTGCCCTTGTGGATACCATCAAGCCACAGTTCCTCAGATGTTCTTTTTGGTCCAGAAACCTTCATAGGTCGTCCATATGGAGAAGCTATATAAAAAGGCAAAGATTAATAAATGAACAAATTAGTACTTAAATAAAATAATGCTAAATGCATTAGATGTGTAGGTACTTGGTAGCAGCACATACATACATAGGCCTACATGGACTTCAGACTAGACTTGACAGTGTAGCAAACACATACATGGAACAGTATCATAATTATGACTCCAAACAAAAATAAAATTTTATTTTTGGTTTGTTAGCACACCAGCCACAAAGAAAAAATGAAAATTTCACAATGTTTTTTTTTATGCCAGCCACTGCCTTGAAATCTCCCAAAATAAAATCTATATTTCATCCTTAATTATATAAGTTTAAAGCATATCAATCCCATTACTACGTAGTTTACATTCAGTAATACAATTTTATTTTCTCCTCTGCCTGGATGCTTTGGAAAAACATATGCTAAATAAGAAAACAAAATTATCTTTTTCCAAGTGCCTCTGATTTAAAAAAAAAAAAAAAAATAGTTTACCAAACAAGGTGTAAATTTTATGTTTTTATTATACAACAAAATTGAGGCTGCACAGCTCAGATGGCTTGGTTATCTAAAGAGAATGGATGGATAAAGAGTGACCAAGAGATGCAGATGGAGACCTAGTGGCAAACGTCCCAGAGGAAGACCTAGAAAGAGATGCCCTCTATCCATAGTTAGATACTGTCAACGACATTTTACATGGAAACCACATGGCCAATATAACAGAACTGAGAAGAAATTGAGAGATGGACAGAACAAAATGAAGAAGGAAGCTAGGACAACTACTAGGCAGAAGCCTAGCTGGGAGCTGAAGTAAAACAAAGCATAAAAGAAGTCTCGTCTCACCTGGTTTCTTGACGTGACTGGTTTTAGGCACTTTCTTCTTCTTCTTTTTCTGGTTCACTTTTATAGGTGACTGAACTCTTAACTCATCTTCCGATATGTTGGAGGCAAAACTGTCATCTGAATACTCTGCAAACTAAAGTGGATTCAAAATAAAATTATCTGAAAAGATTGTCAAACTGATCTCTCTAATAGCCCTGCATATAAATACCTGTATCTACAACTTCATTCCAACAACAGAAAAAAGCATAGTAAGATTTCAAGTTTGATGAAGGCATGAGGTTTTGGGTAGTATTTGTACAAAATCGTTAAACTTTTCAATAAAGGATAGATTTTACAGTGACTGATGGGTGACCACCGGAGGGTTATTCAACCTGATTTTGGGGATGCATGGTGGCATGCGTGTGGCCAAAAACGTTGTAAACGTGCGGCATTGTCGTAAGCAGCCATGATTTATCATACTTTGTGTGTTCAGGACATAGTAATCATTCAAGCTTAAAAATAGGGTAGGCCTAGTAGTAAGAAAATTGAGAATGTGTTTTATGAATAAATACTAGGTATTGACAAAGTAAAAAACATTTATTCACACATTAAAAAAAATATTTTGAACAGAACAGCTTAATTGCAATTTTTCTATTTTTTTGGTCATTCTACTGGGTGCAATTTTGGTATTTGAACACTTTTAAATTCAGATCCCTACCCAAAAAAAAAACCACTAGCCCTAGGCTAGGCTATAATTTAAAGTCCTCGCTAGCTAGAGACCCCTGATTCTTTGGCCGAGCTTCTAGGCCTAGCCGAGATGTAATGAGAGTCCACGCTTTCTTTACAGAAAATATTTAGCTAGCTAAAGCAAGCAAAGACCGTAAATACATATTAATTGGGAACTTCATTATAATCTATGTCATTTCTTACCTCTTTAGCAGATGTTGGCATGGTTACTCGCTCACCTTTTAAACAAAACACAACAAAAAAATATCGGGAGAAAAATATGCAATGTTTACTTGTCGTTAGTGACAAAAAATTGTGGAAGCCCGCCCTCAATAGTTCTATCATTAAAAATTATTAGAAAAACCTCCTCTCTCACCTAACCATTAGTATTATATATACATTAGTATAAGAATGACACTGTAATACTCCAATTAGTTTTAATTATCATTGTAGATTATAAATTTAATAATAATAATAATAATAATAATAATAATAATAATAATAATAATAATAATAATAATAATAATAATAATAATAATAATAATAATAATAATAATAATATAATCTACTGTTAAAAGATACGCCCCACACACCCAATAGGCAATACAGTATTATTAAAATAAATGGTTTAATAAGACTTGCAGGCCATCGTGTCGGATTCAATATTTAGACATTAATGAAAAATTATCCATATTTGCAAGCTTATATGCACAAGTACCAAAAGTGTTCGATCAACCAAATCATTATCCCTAGTAGTGACATAGCTATGAATAAACTAAAGATCAAAGTTACCATAGGCCTAGGCCCACACATTGCAATGTTGTTTAAAGGGTGTAGTGATAACATTTTTTTAATCATCAGCCCTTTAAAAACATCTGGGAAGAAATAGTGATTAAAGATAGAAGCTGTCTCTTATACACATCTATCACCTTATTTTGCAAATTAGCGCCCTCAACTTATCATCGATCCCCCTCACTTCACCTACGAGCCCTCGCCCCACCCCCATCAGTACCCCGTTTAAAGACATCTAGATACACCACTGACTTACATGGCCAGATGAATGAAATTACTCAATCGATGTGCCACCAAATCGTAACCAGCCTTCACCATGCCCCCATGATGTCACCGGGGACGCAACTGCCAGAAAACTATTTTTAATCAACATACTACCGGGATTCTGGGTTGATTTTCAAGGTATTACATGGCTCCACTATTTTTACTTTAATTTAATTGGTAAAAATCGTACACAAATCATACGACGTCATTGACAAAGCCGGGACGGAAACTCGAATTTGAGATTAATTTTCCGAATGAAGTTACACTAAATAAAATGGCGAACTATTATCTTCAGTTGTCTTTGTTGATAATTCAACTGTCACTTTATCTATTTTTTCGGTGATATTACCTACCCACATAACAACGTCACATTACATCGATCGGTGGGGACGCCGTTGTGACGCTGGTAGGGTCAATTTTCTTCTGAAGGTATCAAGATGATAAACAGTTTCATTGTACTAAATTCTTGCTTACGTTAACTACATGCTTACCTAAGATTATACTGACACTGGTTTCAAAATGGAATAACTGACAACTTTGGTTTGTATCAATGTTTTAATAAGTACATAAAAGTATGTCACAAATACGTATGAAAAAATGCACAGGGACACCACGCTGTTTTGTATGTTTCTTGAAATCTGTATGCCTGATTCCATCATCATACACAGTATAATAGATTCAAGATGTTTCAAACGATATAAAAATGTATGCAAACATGCTTTTGGAACAGTTTTTTTTTTTTTTTTGAGTTTTATCTATCTTAACGTCGACTCTATCTTAGAAAGCACCAGGATAAATCACAGTATCCTTTTATAAACCTCCAATTCCAAAAATAATCAGTAAATCCTGTGCAATAAGTAAAAATAGATACATAATAAACTGTTAACAATCAAACACATTTTGCATATTAATGAGGTCCCATGAAAAATTGTAATTTTTATGATTATTTAAGAAAGAATAATGCCGGGCACTCACTGTGTCGTACGATAAATCCAACTCCGCTCCCTGTGAACGATAAATGACGCAACGCCGTCTGCTGATTGTCGGTAGCAATCGCATACAAATCATACGACGTCACTGACAACGTCGGGGACGGCAACTCGATGTTGAGATTAATATTCTTGTTAAACGTCCTATATACAGTAGGAATCATTTGTTGTGATAAACATTTGGAACATTTTAGGGCAAAGTCTATAAACTTTAATTAACCGTTGGATGGTGGGTGTATGATCTCGATGTTCTACAATAATCTGATGATTGGGAACGAGACTTGCTATGATTTACTGACTGCCGAATGAATAACATGAAATATATTGTGCTGAAGACACTGCAATGAATGTCCCATCTAAATTTCCTCAAATATCCAAAAAATAGCAATTTTATTTTGAAAAATAAAGGTCTCTTTAAATTGTAGGGCATCATGTGTTATTCTTATTAAAGGGCTGTTTCTTTCAAATAAATTTCATATCAGGGCGTAGGCTGGTCTTGCGTCCGGGCCTGCCTAGTACTACAATGGAAAATTTGCAGGGCAGCAAGTAGAACTCGATTAGGCCAATAAAATACACATATAAACCTATGATAGTCGTAAACAATTCGAAATAACTCTCAAAAGTGTTTTTGTCGAAGCCTTCGAAAAATATGACGATGCAATTTAGGGACTTCAAAGGCTTAATTAATCCATTTTAGAGTCTACTAATAATATGTAGAAAATACGGTGCATATACATTTTATTTCTTCCCAATGTGGAGGGTTAGCTCTCCCTGAGGGGGCCCTGGGTCCCCGCTGGCGCCACCCCTAAATTGAAGGGATTGGAGGCCCACCAAGTTGTTGTGGTGCAAGGTATTATTCATTAGTTGACTGTATAAGATGACTGTAGTGAAATTTGTGTACAATGATAATACTGTTACAGCTAACAGGGTTGTATTTTTGTAAGAAATTATAATACATACTCCAAGTATTGAAATACACGCCATCGTGTTGGGATTCAATATTTCGACATTAATTATGTCATCATCAGGAATATGTATTTTTGTGGTGTGAGAAACAGATCGTCAGACCAGAGACCCAGTAGCCACAATAAATGTATCGTTGTCACTGTCGTGGCGTCAACGGGACAGGCGTGGACCCTGTCGTCCAACGCCACGACGAGGTCGTCTGTCGAATCAAAAATAATAATTCGCTTATCTAAATAAGGTTATTTTGATTGCCAATCCATAATATTGTGGTCTAAAACACAATTTGGCCCATAATAAGGCATATAAACTCTTCCCGCGGACCTTACAAAGGATTTTCATTCCGAGACCCTGACCGAGGCTCTAGTTGGCCCAGTGGTTTCGACCCTCCAAGTCACCGTTTATTCATTTAAGATAATAATGATACTTTACCATATTTTCCATTATATTGCAGAATTTATTTAAATTGTGTGAAAAAAACTAGTAAACAGAAACAGAAACTGCTCTGACTGTTACTGCCACCTACAACTGTCCTGCCCCCTGGTCCTTGTCCCTATTTCTGTCCCTGTCTCAGCCACGGTCATCCACTATCATTTATTCATTATAATCATTATATTATTATTATTATTATTATTATTATTATTATTATTATTATTATTATTATTATTATTACGGTATTATTATTATTATTTTATTATTATTATTATTATTATTATTATTATTATTATTATTATTAATATCATTATTATTATTATTAAATATAAAGGTATTATTTTAGATATAGGTCTAGTATAATAAAACACGACAGGAAGTTATTCCAACATAGCCTCGTTACTACAACTGTGACAATTTTTATTACGAAATGCAACGAATATTACAAAGTGCGCCAGCACACGGTGGCGTGTGATCTCGCGAGAGAAAGTATTGATATCGCAGTATTAATAAAAAATGTTGAATGAAATGATTATTTTGTGTCTTATATAATTTTACAGTTAATGAGAATCGAATCGCTGTTAAAGTAACACTTTCTCACTGTACTGTGATTTATAAATAATTTTTATAATATTCCGAACTTCTGCTCTTATCGTAATTTCACTATCAAATTATTTGTAATGGCAATTGTAATGGTAGCCATACTTGTAAGATAAATATCAGTTTGCTCTACACCTATTTCAACATATAATATACATTGTTAATGTTCGTCTGGTTAATCATCATATTCATACCATTCTACAACGCTGTACTGGGTGTAGACAAGTGTTATCACAGACAATATGCAGAAAATTATTTAGCTCCTTAGTGAAATCTATCTTCTTAATATTATCTAATGTATGTATGTATTTTCATTTATCGCTTTTAAGTCAATTAGCACATACAGTACTCTATAATAATCCAATACCAGTAAAAGCCTAGCTAAGTTAATTTCGTTAATATTACTAGATAAACAAAGGCGCGGTATAAAAACGAGGTGCATTAAATTATCAGCAAAATAGCCAATAAGAGTCGGTAAAAACAGTCACATGACATCGTTTTGGAAAATCTATCAATCACGGGCAACCAACCTCCTCTTGCTGTCACCTAATATGAGTCTGTGGAGGGAATTTAGAAGAAGAAAATTATTTTATACACGCCCTCAATAACGTAAGGTACGTATAAGCCGCAATTTACATTATTAAATATTTACATATGCATATTTATAGCCTATGTTATGATTTAAATAAACTGCATGTTTGTAATTTGTATTATCTCCTTACACTGTAGTTTGATATACATTGTCAAAAAAATAATGTGGGCCTATTTTATTTCAGTATATAGCATAGCTTACCTGTAGAAAAGACCAGAGAAAATCGCACCACAGAAAGGTCCCGCCCAGTAAATATAATGTTCGTTCCAATAACCTGAGCATATGGCTGCACCAAACGAGCGGGCTGGGTTGAATGAAGCACCGGAGGCAAAGAAGCTAAATAAGAAAACAAATTACAATAATTGAAAATAAAAGTAAGAGGGCACTCTAAGTATGGAACTTTAGAAAATTACAAAGGCCGATACACAGTTGTCTTCCAACGTAAATACCTCAAGAAAATCATACACATTAGATTGTCAATGAAGAGTAATAAGAGTTACACAAAATAGCATTTACCATCGAGGTAAGTAGGGAGGTTTTTAAAAGAAGATGGAGATGGATTGGACACATCTTTAGAAAAGAGAAGGATGACACAGGGGTTGAATGTAAGAATAGTAATTTGAATTGGACTTCGGAAGGCAAACAAAATAGATGATGACCCACGACCACATGAAGGCGCATTTTCGAGAAAGAGAGAGACGTGTTTTGGTGGAGAACTTGGAGAGAAGCAGCAGTGGCAGCAAAAGACAGGGAGAAATGGAAGGATTTTCTTTAAAAGGCCTCAGTCTCCACTACCAGGAGTAGTAAATAAGTAATCACAAGAGAGAACCCTGAATATAAAAATGAAAGCAAGAGTGTTTGAAACGGTGCAGAAATTGAGGGTAAAATTATATCGTTTTACAAATAAAGTGCGCATTTCAACAGCACTTTACAATCCAGTGTTGACATACGGTGAGTCATGTATGTAAGTACACACTGTGTACACTGTACTTTGACTAGCAGGACCCACGAAATAGAAAGATAATAAACATTATTTAGTTCAGCTCTCTGTTATTTAGAATTTACAAATGAGTGTGTTAATATTCATAACACGGATAACTTCGAATATAGGCCCACAGAAGTTGCTATTGTGTTTAAAGCCAGGCTCTGGAGGGAAAATGATATAGGGCCTATTATACAACTGATCTTTATATTGCACCAAAAGGGGTTTGAGGAAAAATTGGGATCGGTTAATAATATGTATATTAAAAATTTAGCTAAAGTGGAACAAATAATTTTATCAGGTTTGAGGTGGGAGAATTAAATCTTGGTATAGGCCTACTAATCTTATTCCAATTTTAGCGAATTTACTTTTTGTTAAAGGTGAAGCATATGAGTAAATAAATTGGTTAATAAAAATTAAATCACTGCACATCATAATCCACGATCGCGCTAATTTGGAGTACTTTTCACAGAACTGTTAAAAATAATCACGAAGCATATTACATCTTACCAAAGAGTATAGAACTGCAAGAGGTCCGACTCTAGGGGTTTCGTCTAAACGCAATCCTATCTCGAAAAGTACTACCACGAACTAGAGGGCGTCCTTTAAGCGAACGTGCCGTGTCTATTATGGAGAGCCGAATTGTAATTTCATCACAAACAGAGATATCTCTTAGTTTTGAATAAAGACATCTTAGCTTTAAATAGAAATGTGTTAAGATTAATATAGCTTATTAAAACGAAGATAGGGCCTATCTCTATTTAAAACTAAGATATCTCTATTTGCGATTAAATGACATTTTGGCTCGCTATAGTCTATAAAAAGCATGTTCGAGTTTCTCTATTCATTTTATTGCATCATAAAAACATGACAAAACAGAAAAATTGCAAACAATAAAACATATGAAGAAAGGACTGTATCCACAGTGTCTAGGTCCAAACTTAGGGAAACGCCCTGAATGAAAAATATCAATTGCATCAAAAATACACATTATTTACACTCAACATAGGCCTAATAAATACTGCAAAATTTATATAATTCTTGAAAAAAGAAAATGCATGATTTAAATATTTAAAAACATCATCAAATTTAACCTACTCCATTCGAATTCTAATAGGGCGCCCCCTATCTCGTGGTAGTACTTTGTTTTTTGTTTCATCGCCTGCAAGCTCTTTGCTTTTATTTAACTTACCAAGACAATATGCCGGCGGTGACTGAGAACCCGTACGCCAAGGGGCCTGACATTTGTTTGCTCTTGTAATCAACGTTTGCATTCATATATGCTGAAAATATCATGAGAGAGATAAGGATTTCAACAACAACGGCCGTTCCACCGGTGACGTCTAGTTCATGTTCCAGATCGTACGGATCGTATGGAATGCTTCCTCGCAGTTTGTTCACGCCACCGTCGATATCGTCATATGAAATATTCAATACCACAGCCTGAAACACAAGATGGTCACCATGAATTGACATTTTAGTATACATGACTCACTCCAATTAAAGACCACTTTTTTCTGATAGGAGGCCTACTTCGTTCAGGAACCCGTTCCCTTTGTTACCTATCAGTCTCTCTTATTTGAGTTAAATAAAATTGTGAATTTTTATGTTTACTCTCACTTTTTGTTTTTTGTTTGTTTGTTTGTTTGTTTTTGGTGGCAATACATCCTTAAAGCCAGACTCCAGAGAACAAAATGAAATGTTGTATAGTACAACATATTTTCTAAGACACAAAAGGGTGTTTGACGAAACACTTGACAACCGTTAATGAGATAAAGATTTTCTGGACTGGAGGGAAAAGGTGGAAAAAAGGATGGTTACACCCATTCTTCTCCAGTTTCTAAATATATTAAAATCTCCAGTTTCTAAATATTTTAAAATCTGTTTCCGAGTTTTTCTTCAAGTACCCATTTTGTGTCTTAGGAAAATCAGTTGTATAACATATCAACCTCCGAGTCTGGCTTTAAACGACAGAAAAAGTTAAAAAGTAAGCATCTCATTCTAACTTATTTCCTTTGAAAGACACATTGCTCTACTGCCCATAATGTCATTAAATCTTTGTCCACACTATCAATTTTCTTTGACAAAAACTGTATGCCCATATATAGTCATGATGTGCCTATATATGGTCTTGATGTGATGTCATCATGACCATATTTAGATATGTCACTTTTTTTTTGTCAAATAAAGTGATAGTGTGGAAAGGGCTTCATGATCAGAAAATCCAAATGCTATGTGCTCACCTTCACAAATGCTGCACCAATCATGGCCCCAATTAGTTGTACGATTAAGTAAATGGCAGCCAAGACGGGATTTAAACCTCCGGAAACACACACTGCGAATGTTAATGCTGGATTGAAATGTCCTCCACTGCAATCGAAATATACATACCAAAGAATAACAATATATTTTATCATTAATTTTAAAATCACCTACAATTATATGGTTGGCTAATACAGTAGGCATGGGTGAAAGCCTTCACAAACATAGGCCTTTATATGTACCAAACCAGAGGACATGTTTGTGTCTCAAGGCATGCATTCGAACGCCCCCCTTCCCCACCTAGCTAGAATATTCATATAATGTAATAACTTTGTTTGATAATAGTTATAATAATAATAATAATATAATAGATAATACACAGTTCGTTATTTCATAATAATGTTATAGGCTATTAAAGTAATAATAATAATAAAAATAACAATAATAATAATGTATTGTTATAATACTCGCATAAAAATAGTGTTCAGTATTGCTTTAAAATATATAATAATAATAATAATAATAATAATAATAATAATAATAATAATAATAATAATAATAATAACAATAATAGACCTAATAATAATTTATCAATAATAATTACATGGAAAAAATATTTAAATTTGAGTCTTAGAGTGCCATTTCCGGCGACATGAGGTGCCACAGACGTGATAGTTGGACTCAAACACTCTATTTCAAGTTGCATCCGCCACTAATACGATGGCGCTAATCCTTTAGATTATTTCTTACAAATCATTTACGCTCACATATATTGAAGCTAGGGTTAACGTTTGATATAGAATAATTTTACCTGATTTTCAGAAATGCAGAACACAGTACAGCAATGGTCAGTCCTTCGGCAAAAGCAATGGCAACTAGATTTTCTGTAGTGACAGCCATACATGCAACGAACGTATACAGAAGTGTGCCTCCAAATTCAGCGAATACAGATTGTACATATTCCTCAAACACTGCTGCTTCCTCTCCTCTTTCTCCATCTTGAGGGTGATCCTCATAATTTATCTTTTCTAGGCTACGACTCATGTTGAAGCGGTGTTCAAATCTTCTTGAAAGGAAGCGAGTAAAAACGATGAGACGGACTGGCACAGGTCGCCAAATAACCGCCAAATTGCTAACAGGTTTGCGATGAGGTTGAACTAAAAACGCTTAATAGTTAAATAAACATAATATGAACCAATCAAGGTGCCGATGTTTATCTATTCTTGTTGACACATTCTACTGTCTTTGAGTTGAATTAGTGAACTTTGGTCGAAACAATTGATGACGACGCCATGAATTAAACATTTGTTTGCTTTGGTTATACATTTACTAATGTATAACTCATAAACTACAATCCCCACCATAATTTGTGCAACAAGTTTAATTCCATTGTTTTTGTTTTTACAAATTATAATTATGATATTTGGTAAGTCTCATCTCTCATTGCGCTCCTTGTGTACCGCGTACTGCCAACAAATTCCCAGTGTTTAAGATTAAGGCAGGGGTGCTAGACTTGAGTCGTCAGATTTTAATCGTTGGCAGTTAAGGTATTACGGTGAAATGATTCACAACCGAGTAGTAATTGTTGATCTCCATTACGAGCCACAGGACCCTTACATTGAGCTTAATTTCCCTAAATTACTAATTATTCCGTGTCAAATATAGTGAAGTTAAACATAAAACTTTATTAAAACTTGGAATAATCTCATTAAAATATTCTATAAATTTTCACTTATTATATAAATATTTTTTTTAAAGTCTGAGGTGTTTTTCTTTTTTTTTTTTTCTTTTAAGTCTGAGGTTTTTTTTTTTTTTTTTTTTTCTTTTTTTTTTTTGTAAAACTTCGTATAATATCAGCCAACTGATTTTTAAAAATTTAGCTTGAATACTACATGTTTTATCATAGCGTATCTTACAATCACAACTGCTAAAATCATGACTGGGTCTCCCAAAGTAAGGTAGATTATCGATCACTAATCGCACTTGAGTGTTCCGAAGATAGAATATCAATGATATGGAGTTAGACCTGCTTTTCTGATTTTAAATAACTCGTCTATTTCTAGGCAATTCTACCTCATGTGAAACTCGTAACGACTTGGGGTACACGAAAACTCTCATTGATAGAGGTTTCCAGTGCGTCATCTACATTTATCTGGTATTTGACAAGACATACCAGTACTCGAACAAAGAATTAATGCAAAAAAAGTTGCGGGATTGTTGATAATGTTCATGGAATTTTATTTAATGAGCCATATATTATCAAATTATATATTACTAATGATTTTTATAACCTTCTTAACTTAGAATACGATTAGTTAGTAATTTATGCCTTACTGTTGTTTGTCAATTCAATTTGTGAAATTAGGAAAACATGATTTCCTAATTTCATAATTTAATTTGCATTTTTGTGTAAAATTGTTTTCTGTACTTTCCTTGAAAGTTTTATGTAATATTATTAGTAACAATATTTTTTTATATTTAACTGTAGAGTTTAGTATCAACAGTATTGCAATACTTACAACAATATTGACTCTTGCGGTACACATACGTGACAGTTATTTTGGTTAGGTTTATACATCATTCAGTATATTTCTTTAACTTAAGTAACGTTTGTACCAATCAAGGACGATCCTCTTAGGCCACGGTATGGTAGTTTTTTTCAGCTTGATGGTAAATTGACGCTCGCCAGATCTATAGAAAACACCCCAGTATCAATGCTGAGAAGAATAGGCTGGGGGGGGGGGGGTTGCACATATAAACGTACTTATGATATGCCTAGTCGTAAAACAAATAAAGACTCATTTTTTATCCCAAATGTGAATAAACACTACAGTACTCGAAATAAATACAGCGTATTCATTCCTTCCTATTATTCATGTGCCGGCGCTAATGTGTCCTCGTACTCCTTCGGCCTTCGTTTCTTTTCTCTAGGCGACTTTTCCCAAAATGCGATTTTTTTCATGACACGCATGGAAAATTAAATAATTAACTGTCACAAAACAGTTTCAAGGACATACGCTTTCTTTTTCTACCTCTATTTTTTAGTTTTGGTGGTACATTAAAAAACAAAACAAAACAGATACCGGTAATTTAAAAAAACTCAAGTATTACACAATAAAGAAAATAAAACAAACTACTATACAAGTTCGTTCTGGGTTGAGTCCACAAGACGCGTGCGTACATGGTCTACCATTCCAAAATTAAGGTTTCCTTCTGGATGGCACGCAAAACTCGCATTAGCTTTCAGAGGACACAATACCGGACGCTTCCTTATTCGTTGGTTCCGTGCTACTTGTAACTCACAAGCTTATTTCTTGGATCAGAATAAATCAGGATACTATTTAGTCATTCAATTCCACCTAGAATATTGTAATCCACACAGGTTACTGCACTTATTTTGGATCCACACAGGATAACTTTTTGCTAAATCCACACAGGATAACTTCAAGCTTAATCCACACAGGATAACATTTTGTAGTTGGACACATATACTGTAGTATTATATTCTATTATATAATAATGTTTAATTTGATCCACACAGGATAGACCTACTTTACACTACCAGGTCCAAACTTTGATGACACAATTTCCATTCAGTCCACACAGGACACACAAATTAGCTACCATCTGTGACTTTCTCTCAGTGCACTTCCACCATAACTAACTCACTTTTCTCTCGAACTATCCTCCCTCATAACATTGCATAACTTTTCTACCAGCTTCTCATTTCATAATATTGTATAACCGTCTACTCTATTCTTCATGTCACCACACCACTTTCAGTCTCAACACAATCCATACAATACCTAACAAACTTCATAAC